ATTTCTTTGCAAGATAATCGGAAATAAGTGATTATTTAATATCTGGATTCCTTTTGAAAGATTTTAGCATCTCATAATGAAAACCACATAACCGAGTCACTACAAATAATAAATGAAAAACTAGTATTCTGACCCAGATACTTGATTCCCAATAGCTTCTGTTTTGAGGTCTCTGTCTCTTGCCTTTGGATCTTTCATTCAGAAGGAAGACAGCTGCCATGTCATAAGCAGCCCTGTAGAGATGCTCTTGTGACAACGAACTAAAGTTTCCCACTAATAGTGAGGAAGTGAGGCCTATCTGTTGGCTTTTATTTTTTTAAGTTTACTTATTTATTTTTAGAGCAGGGGAAGGGGTGAGGGGAAGAGAGAGAGAGAGAGGGAACACAGAATCTGAAGCAGGCTCCAGGCTCTGAGCTGTCAGCACAGAGACCGATGCGGGGCTTGAACCCATGAACTGTGAGATCAACACCTGAGCCCAAGTCGGATGCTTAACCAACTGAGCCACCCAGGTGCCCCTACCTGTTGGTCACATGAGTAAACCTGGAAGCAGATCCTCCACTCCCAGCTGAACCATGCGACAACTGTAGCCCCAGCTCAAAGCCCAGCAACAACCTCATAAGAGAGCCTGAGCCAGGGCCACCTAGTGAAACCACTCCTGCTTTCCTGACCCTCAGCACCTGCGTGAAATAACACGTTTGTTGTTCTAAATTGCTAAATTTGGTGGTAGTTTGTTATGAGGTAAGAAATAGCCAATAAACACTGCACAAATTAATATATTCTTAACAAATGAAAACTATCAACCACTTTAAAAATACCTAAATAGTCATTTTTTTCTAAAAGGTAAAATACATTCTTGACTTAAAAGTACTACCACTGGTGTTCTTCTTTGAAAAGAGGTGATTAGATTGTTTACAGCATAGGTAATAGGTGATTTAACCAGTAATTTATAGGTCACTGATTCTAATTTAACCTAAGTTCTTGGCAGCTCGACATAGTTAAAATTGAAATGTGGTTGCAGGTAGTAACTGTCCATGGCTACACGTTGCCACTTCAGTACCACTTAATTTCTTTCTTTTTTGGAAGAGTTGGGGGGCATCTTAGCAGATACAAAAATCTCTACTTAAATTAAACTACCTCTTTCTTTTTGTCCTGAATGGCCCTAGTAGGATGCGGAGTAAAGTAGAAACAACCGTCTACCAGCTGCTGCTGTTGATGACAACATGCAAAGTAATCACTTTTCGAAGTAAATAAAACCTTTAAAGTTTTACCCTCAGAAGGAGAACCTCCAGGTAAGGAGGGGCAGGTGACATAGTCCTGACCCCTCGTCTACCTTTCTGCTTCACTTTATATTCTCAGTCCAATTATTCATTCAGCATTTTGTCAAAAAATATTTACTGAACCCTTTCTGCACACTAGACACAGGAATATAATGAACTAGATAGACATCTATCTATCTATCTATCTATCTAGACATCCATCCTCATGTACCTTTTTATGGGAGTGGAAAAAAGAAATTAAGCAATTACAATGTAGCAGTCACTCATAGAGAGGGAAAGTGCAGCATGCACCTATCTGGGTACATTGGTTAGGGAGGGACATGGGGGTGTGGGGGTGGGGATGGATATGGGAGGGAGTGTGGGAAAGCTTTCCATGAAGATGCCATTTCAGGGGAACTCCCGTTAAAGGCCTGAAGGCAAGGAGTTCAAGACACATTTAGAGACTCAGGTTCAGCTTGGTTGCAGCATAAAACAGGTGTGGGTAGGGCCCCAGGGGTGTGCGCTGCACCTTTACACCGAAACCCAAGAATGGACACGATTCCTTTTGGTGGGTTCGCCTTTAAAAGAGCAAACGCCAGGAAGAATTAAAAAATGAACAAATCTTTAGGCCCTGACCTTTTGCATCCTGTCTGAGAACACTTATTTATATTCCGGCACAGCTTGGTGAGGAGTATGCATGCAGTGGTGAGAATTTTAAGGTTAGAAAGATCTGCTTTGAACCCCAGATTGAGAACAGGAATACCAACCACACTCAGGGTGTGCGAAGGTTAAATGAAGTTAACAACTGTGAAGCATCTTGCACACACTAGGTATTCACAAAAATTCTCTTCCCTCCCCTTCCCTTGCTTCTGAGCCCTCTGCTGGCCTCCTAGCCAAAGGAACCATGTCAGGGCCTACCAGCTGACTGAGAACAATGCTCTCTTGGCCATCCTCTGTGTCCCTCTAGTGCAGTTCTAGTCTCTACTCTCCTCCTCAGTGAACCTGGAATTAGACAAACCAGCAGTATTCCAGCATAAAAATCCTTGTCATATACTTACTTTAGCATTCACAAAAAAACTATGCCCATATACAATGGAGACTTCTTCTATCCTACTATTTACATCTTTATATATACTTTATTGCATATGTACCTGACATCCATTATTCCTTTTAATAACATTGTGAAGTATCATAATCACTACTGGGCAAATAAGAGTCCTAGGCTCAGAGAGGTTAAGTGAATAACCTTGACACAATCTGGGAATGTAGCTCATTTCCTTTTAAGTTTATTTTGAGAGAGACAGAGACAGCATGAGTAGGGGAGGGACAGAGAGGGAGAGAGAGAGAGAATCTCAAGCAAGCTCTGCACCATCAATGCACAACTCGATGTGGGACTCTGACTCACGAAACTGGGAGATCATGACCTGAGCCAAAACCAAGAGTTGGACACTTAACCAACTGAGCCACCCAGGCGCCCCATCAATGTAGCTCACGCTCTAAATAGAGTTTTGTCAACTCTACAGAGGCTACCTCCCAGCAAATGTTGGCGGCAGGTATATATGTGTGTACATATACATATATATATACATCTATACACATATTTATTTATTTTTGAGAAAGAGAGAGCGGGGGAGGAGCAGAGGGAGAGGGTGGGAGAGAGAATCCCAAGCAGGCTCTACATTGTCAGTGTACAGAACCTGATGCAGGGCTCAACTTCACGAGAACCAGGAGATGATGACCTGAGCTGAAATCAAGAGTTGGATGCTTGACTGACTGAGCCACCCAGGCGCCCCAGTGGGCACATATTTTAAGCTATACTTTCAGTTTCTTTTAAACATTGCTAGGACTCAGAAACATGGGCTTCTACAAGTATATATCCGTTTGTCAGTTTCTAACTTTGTCCTTTCATAGAAATTTTAAGTTCTCTAAGTGCAAAAGAAACGGGGGATTGCAGGGTCCTCTCTGAACACTATTTTGACCCAAGAATCATTTCCTTTACTTTAGTGAGTAATAAGTACCACTTTCAATTTGCCTACCTTCCCAGCTATGCTCATAATAGTAAAAATGAAACTTCCTATTTTGGTAATAATAATAAACTGTCCTGACTGTGAAAATGGGAGCACAAATGAAAGGTTTAACTACTGCTAGTGGACTACAGCTGCTGATTTCAAATGGAATTATTTCCTCATGTGATCAGAATAAGATCCCTTGAAGGTCACCTGTTCCAAGCCCAGTCTCTGTCTAGGGGTCTACTTCACAAAAGGAGTCCTCCTCCCTTCTGAGTAGCTCAAGTTGGGTCCACAATTGATCCTATTTGTATCTACATAAATCTTTCCTGAAGCACCCCTTTCTTTAACTGTTTCTCCAAAGGTGATGCACAGCTTCTCTGGATCAGAATCACCTGAGTCCTTATTAACAGGCGATTTCTGGGTTGCAACATTGACTTGAATTGACCCAGCAGTGGGCCTTAGCTTTCTATATTACCCATCAGGTTCAAACTTAAATCAATTAAATATCCAGGTCTTTTACACCCCCCCCCCCCAAATAAAAAGAGGTCTTCAGCAAAATCTTATCTTATACTAAAAGCAACTGGGTTTAAACTTAAGTGGTTGAGGGGCACCTGGGTGGCTTAGTCCAACTTTGTCTCAGGCCATGATCTCACGGTTAGTGGGTTCTGTGCGGACAGCCAGCTGAGAGCCTGGAGCCTGTTTCACATTCTTTGTCTCCCTTTCTCTCTGACCCTCCCCTGCTCACACACACTCTCACTACCTCTCTCAGAAATAAATAAAACATTTAAAAAATTTACAAAACCTTAAGTGGTTGATAAAAATGCTGAGTCAGATAGTAATTTGTGGTCAACACCTGATCCCCCAGCTCCAGGTTCTCTATATATTAGGCTTATATTGCAGTTGTGTACAATGATTCAGCCAAACAAGAATATACCTAACTCTAGTGTAATCCAGTCTACATTTCCCCATTTTGTTCACAAGGATAGCACGTCAGATATTTTGTGGAAATTCTGAAATTATGGCATCCACAAAATTCCCCAATACACTAGGTAGTGTGACCAAACTAGGGAAGCACATGAAGTTAGTTACAATTCTTTATCTGGATGATTCAAATTCTCTACTTCATTTTAAAAATTTAAATAACCAGGTTTTACTTTTCTTAAAGTCCTTCTAGATACGAGACATTAGGAAAAAGGATCAACTTTCACCATCCTAAATATTAGGATATTAAACATTCTGTGCAACTGAAATTAGGCAAGTTTAAGATACGGTACACTGATAATGTAATCACAGACACTTGGCAACAAAGTGACTGGCATCTTTATTGGGAGATGTGGGTACACAATTATTCCCTCAGAGTGAGGCATTTAGCTAAACATTTGTCAATATCTTTTCCTGTGTAAATCAGGAAAAGGGGTTGAAAAACAAAAATCAAGGAATCTCCATCAAGTGGCAAAAGTCAGGTCTGAAGGGAGGCACTGAGGGTAGAGCATTGTTTAAAAAACCCTAAATCCTCGTCCTCGGAATACAAACCGCCCATAAACCAGGTTGATATTATCTATTAGCACGAGGCTGGCTTCCTTCCAATTAGCTCTAGAGAAAGTGAAATATTGGCTTTCCGAGTGAGTCCCTCCAGTCCAGTGATATTTGCACATCACACTTGGGCCTTTCGGTTACAAATCCACCTCCTTGAGGAGTCGTGCTTTTAAAAAGCAAGAACAATCAATAAGAAAAAACCCTCCCAGCTATAAATCAGCCACGTGGAGCTGCTGCTGCGGCAGCGGTAGCCCTGACTTCCTGGTTTGCTTCCTGCAAGCCTTGCGGCAGGGGTCTCCGGGTAGTGGGTGTGAGAAAGGGAGGGGCGGCCGAGAGCGGCTCCCAGTCCTCCGCGCGTAGGGGGAGGGGGTGGCTGCGGGACGGGGGATCGTGGAGGGCACGGGTGGTAAGGACAGAGTTATGGCCCATAATTAAACCAAAAGTTTGGGAATCTGGAAGCTTTAAGAGCTGAGCCGTGGGGCAAAGGCTAAGGACCAGACCTGGGGAAAGTGTAAGTTAGTTCTAGGGTAACAGGGAATTGTGAAGGGGGTTCTTGGGCACAGTGGCGAGAGAAGAAGGGGGCTGCGGACCGGGAAGGGGGTAGGTGCACGGAAAGGAAGCTTGGAAGAGCGAGGAGCGAGGCACAGGGGTCGGTTGGAGCTCTGCGGAGGCCGCCGGAGGGAGGGGGGAGCGGCGGCGGCGGAGCGCGGTCCGAGCCGGCGAGCCGCGGGGAGGGGGCGGAGGGAAGAGCCCGGGGGAAGGTAGAGCCAAGGGGAGTTCCGGATCTGGAGCTGGAAAGGGCAGGCAGCGGAGAGGGCGGCAGCCGAGGCTGTAGGGGTGGGGGAGGGAGGAGGTGGAGAGCCGGAGGAGGGGGAAGGAGGGAGGGGAGAGCTGTGGCGGCGGCTGCGCCGGGCTCTGTGTCTCTCGCCGGCGGAGGAAGATGAGGCTGAAGATTGGGTTCATCTTACGCAGTTTACTGGTGGTGGGAAGCTTCCTGGGGCTAGTAGTCCTCTGGTCTTCCCTGTCCCCGCGGCCGGACGACCCAAGCCCGCTGAGCAGGATGAGGGTGAGTGACCCGCCCGCCCCCTCCGGCGGCGGCGACCTGCAACTTGTTTTGTTTGCGCGCGCGCGTGGCGGGAGCAGGGGCGGCGGGGTCGGGGCGCGGCGTTGCGCCGCAGCTCCGCAGGTGGTGCTGGCGCGGCGCGGGCCGATCTGGGGCGTTGAGCCCCGCGCGCCGGGTCCCCAGCTACCAGCCGCCGGCCCGCCCCCTCGCCGCCCCTTCCTCCAGCGCTTCCCCGCCCCGGGGCTCCGCTGGCGGCGGCCGCGCTCCACGCCGGGACTGCGGGGCGGAGCGGGGGCCGCGGCCGCCCGACCCCCGACCCCTCGGCGCGGGGATCGCCGCGGTCGCGGCCGGGGGACGCGGGGTTGGTCCAGGCTGCGGCCTGTGGCGCGTGCAGGCCCGAAGGAGGCGAGTTGCTGCCGCCACCGTCACCGCCGTTCGGGACCAGGCCCCTCGGTGCAGCCTTCCCTCCCGCCACCGCCCGTCCGGGATGCTCGCAGCCCCGGGCTCCCCCGGCCCGCCTGCCTGCCGGGAGTGGGAGGGAGATGGCGCCCCGCCTCCGACTCGTACGGAGAGCGCCGCCTCCCCCTCCCAACTCGGGTGGCGGGGAGACGGGGTGCGATGTGCGGCGGAGGCCTCGCCCTGGACCGGCCCTTCCTCTCGCTTCCCCGGCCAGGAGAGGGACGGTTGGCCCCAGGTGGCTGAGGGGGCGTCTCTGCCGCGGTCCACACCGCGCGGGGGAAGCCCCTTCTTCCTGAGCGGCGTCGCCCTCCCCCCTCCATCCCCCCCAGCTCGCTCCCGGCGCCTCTGTCCGCGGGACGTGGGGCCGGTTCCTCATCCCGGGCTGTGGCAGGGCTGCTCGGGCCGGAAAACTAACTTGTGCCGGCGCCCCGCCGCTTGGCGTCGGCTGGCTGCCCGCTCGCCCAGCCCGACGCCGAGGGGCGCCGCGGCGCGAAGCTCCCTGCTTCTCCGCTGGGACGCATTTGTCTGCCGCCCGAGGCGCGAGTGTTAGCCTTGACACTGAATTGCTTTTGAGGGTTTAGTCAGGCGCCTCGGAACGTTAGTTACCGCGAGCGGCGCGGGGAAGGGGCCGCGGCGACTGCTGCTTCGCCGACCCAGCTGGTTGGCTGCATACCGGCCTCGGCCCCCGGCCTCATCCGCTCCCCGAAGGTAACCGGTCATACCCCCCCTCGTTCCTCATCCTGGAGCCCGGAGAGCCCCCTGGGCCAGTTGCCCTTGGGGGTAAGACAGCGTGGAGAGTTCAGGGCCACGGGAGCGACCCAGGGGCCTTGGGAGCAGATGTGCTCTGTAGTAAATAGTACCTACTTGCGGCTGTGTGATCTCCTTTATTAACTTTACTTAGCACTAACAGCGTCAGAAGTTGAGTGTGAAGGCACTCTTTGAAGAAAAAGAATGCTAGGAGTAGATTTCCTTATCAGTTTCTCCCCATATGATGAAATTAGATTTACTCTTCTAAGTTTTAGTATTTTTTAGACTTTACTGCAGCGGAATCTCTTTATGGTATCTAGAGTGGATGCTCATCTAAATCATCGAAGTTAATGGTAACTCAAAGTACCAAGTTTTCGTGGTACTTTTGTGGTTTCATTGTCTTCATGGACTGATGGTGACCTCTCTTTGCTTTTGCATTCAAAATGATTGACAAAGGATGACTGAATATTGCAGTGGCCTTTTTGGTTTTGTTTTTTTCTTCAGAGAGCTAGAAAGGTTAAAGCCCCATTTTCGGGGAGAGAAACTGAGGGAAGTTTGACAAAACTTGCCATATTCAGAATGCCCTGCAGTTCGGATGACCGGTCTTTTAAAGAGGTGGTGGAGCATCTGTACTAAAGCCTGTCTCTTTTGAAATACGTTATTACAGTGGCTATATAATTGCCCACCCTCGATGCTAATCACTCAGTAGCAGGTGGTGATATCTTGACTTTTGGTCCAGCTTACTTGATAGTTTGTCACTGAGTCCAGCGTAATTTCTATCATTTGCCAAAGACAGAAGCTAGCTTATTAAGACTCTTAAATGTAATTAACATTGAAAAGAATGCTTGTGTCTCAGGAAAGCCAAACCATTTTATTAATTTTACAGGCAAATGTTAACTAAGCAATTTAAGGTGTAGCTTATAAATCATTAAGAATGTAAACAAGGGACTTCTGCCTCCTTTTACTAAGAACTGTCCTAAGAACTTCTGAGATCTAGCACTAGAAGAACATTTCTTTTGGGGAAGATTCTGCCAAGTACTCAGCTTTTGACTCCCGAGTTTCCCTTCCCCCTTCTGTTTCCTTTCCTTTGATTAAGATTGCAGACGTCTCCACCCACTGTGAGACACCTGCCTCTCCTTTAATGCTGATCCATATGTGGGCTCTTTGGATCCCTATAAATGGCTTGAAATAGGCTAGAACAATCTACCGAATAAAGGTTCTGCCTCTACTCTGGCAAGCTTGTTCTCATGGCTCCACCCTGTGCCATTTTTTGTCTCGTACTTTCAGTGTTCTAGGCAATAAAGTCTATAGCAATCTGGGTTGTTTTTTTTTTTTAACCTGGACTATTTTATGTCTGTCTTACTGATGAGGTCATTATTACAAAACACATTACCCACAGTCAGGATGAGAGACCTATTTCTTTTTTTAAAATATGTTTTTAATGTTTACTTTTGAGACACAGAGAGATAGCGTGTAAGTGGGCAAGGGGCACAGAGAGGGAGACACAGAATCCAAAGCAGGCTCCAGACTCTGAGCTGTCAGCACAGAGCCCGACACGGGGCTCGAACTCTTGAACTGCAAGATCCTGACCTGAGCTGAAGTCAGTCACTCCACCAACTGAGCCACCTATGTGCCCTGAGAAACCCATTTCTTATTTCCTTCCTATCTCTAGGCCTTTTGCTGTTTCTCTGAGGTGAATGATGTGAAAGATGATCTTACTGTTCAAATTGTACTCTGTTGTGTTTGACTTATTTAACAAACATTTTTGAGTGCCCACTGTGTACTAGTGTTGAGGAAATATGCTTCTAGATTTACAGCTTTGTGGGGGAAAAACCCCACGTTAGCCAAGAGTCCACAAATATGCAGATAAAAATTAATACTACATGCTGTGAAGAAAAGTCATTGAGGATAAGAAAATAGGAACTTGATCATAAAAGTCTTACCTGAAGAAATGACTTTTAAGTTGAAATCTGAAGATTTGAACAGAAGTTGTTGATCTGATGTGGGAGGAGGGCACTCCTGAGAGGAAGAAGTATGTGCAAAGGTCCTGAGGTAGGAGGTATTATGGTGAACTGAGGGACTGGAAGAAGACCAGTATAATTAGAACATTGTGAGAGGAGAGGTGGAGTGAGGATGCAAAGGTAGTATGGGTCTTGTAGACCTGCTAAAGATTAGGTCTTTAGAGCCACAGGAAGCCATCGAAGCATTTTTAAGTAGGGGAGACAGTGATCAGATTTGTGTTTTGGAAAGATCATTCTGGTTGCCTGCAGGAAGTAGGAATTGATTTGAGCAAAAGCAGATAGTAGGAGTCCTGTTGGAGGTTATAATAGTTCAGGTGGGACATGATATTGCTTGGCTTGGCTGGGTGACAGTGGAAGTAGAGAATTGATTCAAGAGCTATTAAAGATGCAGAGGTGTCAGGGCTAGGTGATTGGTTGTGGGAGGGGAGAAGAAAGTGTCAGGAGGTGTAGAATGATAGATTATCTTCTATACAAAGTTCTGAGGACAAACACTCATGTATTTTCTATTTTATGGTGATGGGAAGGCTTATTTCAGGCTTTGTCTTCTGGCTAGTTTCAGGTCAGCATTATTAAGACCATCTGTTTAATACTTGCAAAGTGCAGAGCTTTCCTTTAATTAAATAAATTATAGTATATCCGGACCCTATATCCCAGGTTTTAGCCCTGAGTGTTTAAAGTTGAATCATAAGCCTCTGACAATAAAGGTTTGTAATGGAATACTGAGAAATCTTCAGTGGTTTTATTACAGCAAATTCAGTGCTGATGAGAAGCTGCAGGTATACTGATGATTCTTTATATACACAAATGTTACCTTAGTCAAACCACTAATGCCACTTAGGTTTAGAGCCTGCATAGTAGGGCTAATTCAGGAATCATCCCTAGGCTGAGAGCTGTTAGGTGATAAGCAAGCTAAGACCCTTTGAAAGAAGGGTTGCTTAAATGAGAAGTGACTGAATTGATTACCCAGTCACAGTCAAGTTCTGCCTTTAACCAGACCCTTTTATCTCTGTGATGATTGGTTGCAACCTGAAAAACTGCCCTTGACCTTAAGATTTTATTTCAAATGAAAGCTCCATTTATGTTATTAGGAATGGAGCTATCACTTAGGAGAAGTGTAGTGTCTTAAGTGGTCACCTTCCTCTTACTTCCCCAGTGGAAAAGCCTCGGGCATGGTTTTTGTTCTCTTTTGCTGTCCTCCCTCCATACCTGCAATAAAAACTCCCACGTTACCAAGACTAAGAAATCTGGGGTTTATAGACCTCCTGAAATTAACAGACTTTTATGTACATGTCCTTTCTTCTGGGTGGAGAATCAGAAGCTTTCACATCTCCCTGTGAACCACTGACTGAGTTCCTGGAAGCCAGGATTTCTGTTTCTTGTGGGTAGCGCATGGAGTATCTGCCCCATCTACCAAGGTGCTGAAGCATTCATTTATGTCTCCCCCGCTTAGGCCTCAACACCATAGAAATGCAAATTCCTAAGAATTCTAAATCTGTGGATTTTGTAGAAGTGTTGGCCACCCAGTGGTCAAAGTTCAGGCATCAATCCTGTTGCTACCACAGTCTTCACCTCTCTTCCAGGAGAGGTGTCCTCTTCCAGGACTTTTACCTCAGATAAAAGTCCCTGCTGTAAAGGAATCTGCATCCTAGAAAAGGATGCAATAGTCGCATGGCTTCGTTTCTTTCTTTTTTCCTTCCTTAATCCGGTAGGTAGCGGTATAAGGAAACACTAAGAGTTGTCACAGAATGTTTTGTTAATAGCCAAATCAGTAGGTGG